GTGATAACTAGAGAAAGAATATAAGATATGTGATTATAAACATATGGATATATGTCTAGATGAAGATATGATAACAAGTTATAAATTATATGAGTTAGATATATAGGTAATGGTATGATGACAATATATATAAATCATATAGATTTAAGTGAATAAATGAAAAGTGAGATAAATTAAGTAGGGTTGACATATATGATAATATAAATATAGAATATAAGTTAAGAGATATTGACATAAATGGGTATTTAAAATAAGTTAGATAAGTAACATAGGAAGGACTTTATGTTAAATGGAACTATGATCTAAAATAAGTTGGATTCTTATATGATATGAAGTATAGTACAAGATAACTAAAATCATATAAGGATGTCATAGAAATTGGGTAAGAATAAGTTATGCGAATATATGTTTATGTGATATAAGTTGTGTAATAAACCATGTGAGTTGATATAAATAATTAGGTGAATAAATCGAGAAGTGAAATAAAATAAGTAGTATCTACTTATAAGGAAAAATGAGATTATATGAATAGATAGTATTGGTAAAGCACATAAGACTACATGTCTATGCTTTAATGTAATAAAGTAAAATAAGTCCAAGGATATTGATGTATGTAAATATAGTATATGTGATATGCAATATGTGATAATAAGACATGAATTATATGAAAGGATTATATGAGTTATATGAATATATGATTCAAAGTTATATGATTTTATGATCACAAAAGATACGCTATGCATGTGAATGATATGATAAAAGCTATGAGCATATGAGATATGATTATGTGAAACGATATAAAAGAGAATGCCCATGTAAGTGTCAGGAGAGCTAGAGGTATAGTTGGCATGCCAAGATTCGAGGGTTACCTATGTCTTTCGAGACATGTGGATAGTTTACCTACGTCCTTAGGGACATATGGACAGTTACCTATGTTCTTCAAAACATATGGATGGTGGTCCTTCGAGACATATGCATAGGTCATTCGGGACATATTTTACATGGCACTCAGTGGGACTTATACGAGCTTTGGTGACAGCATATGTGCACAACCTCAATGTACTCGCATATCGTTAGTTCTCACGAGTATACATGGGCTAATAAAAGAGATAACATAAACATATCTTGTGTGATGCTATTTGTGCTCTTGCAAAATGTGTTATATGCTGTGCATAAATGATAAGTATAAGTTTATATGTTAAAAAAGGACTAATTATAGTAAGGTATATATATGATATGATAATGATAATGATGTTAGTAGTAATAATGAATACGATAAATTTATCGATAATGATAAGTATAACATATGTGTATGTATGCATTTTGTTATATGTAATATTATATGAGTGGTATGACCTGAGCATATAAAATGTTTTGTATTGTTAAGTGATGAAGTTACAATATATGTTTTATTAGGCCTCACTAAGTCATAGACTTAGCATGTGAGTGTTTCACACGTAGGTTCCAGAAAGCGAGAAGAGAATTGAAGAGGAGCAAGACAGGTTAGCATCTCCCTCACAAATTTCAGAGCAGAAAATTTAAAGAGATGATTAGATGTATTTTTTTTATTGGAATATAGTTGGCATTTACTAATTAATTGAGTTGAATATGCTCTGATATGTTTTGTAAACCAATTGATTAAATTGATGTAAAATATTCATTTTTTTGAAGTGTGAATTTAAATTTTAGTCAATTTGTAAAGGAAAATGCTTTGAAAAGTCAATGTGACACCTCGGACTCGAATCCGAGTCGGATACGGGTTGGGGGTGTTACAGGTTCTCTCTCAATTCTTTTGTGCTCACACATTGATTTTGAGTCACTCTTTTCTTCTCACATTTAGGTTCACTCACCTCCCATGGGCTATTATTCTTTTTGGCTTTTTTAACTAGTGACTTCTTTTGCTTTTGCCTCTTTCTTAGATTTTCTTTTTTTACTTTCACTACCTCCTCACAAATTATCATTTGATCTTTAGGGGCTGGAAGTGTATCATTCTTTGCTGGTCGTTCTTTCTCCTTGTCAGGTTTGTCATCTCTTGGCTTTTTCGGAGAAGATGGAGTAGAAGATGAGGAATAATTTGAAGGATTACCTTGGTAAGAGGATGAAGTACCTTGGTAATGTTCTCTGAATCGGGATCTCCTTTGGATTTGTGCTTCGATTGTCATTGTTTTCTTTTGTGTATCTTCAAGGTTTTTGTACCCATGTAGATCAAGAAGATGAGTGATGTTTGAGTTTAAGCCGATGACAAATCTTGGCACGTTGACCTCTTCTTTTTCGGTTATGTTAGACCTATTGAGTAAGGACTGCATCTCCTTATAGTAGTCTTCAACTGAACTTTTCCTTGTCGAAGTCGGTGTAGTCATAGTTTAACTTCTCGTGTATAATGTGTCGGTAGGAATCGCTTCCTCATGGTTTGTTTAAGGTCGGTCCAAAAAGTGATTGTTGGAATTTGGAAGTTCTGGATCTTTTCCTTGTTTGCATCCACTAAGTTCGAGCATATCATTCGAATTGCATGGTGATGAAACAATACCCAAATTTATATTTCACATTTATATTTTTTAAAAAATTGAAAAAAAAATAAAAATATTATTAATTAATTTAAAAAATACCCAAATTTCTTTAAAATCACAAAACCCCCTAAAACTTAAAATATTTAATTTCACATCTCATTTTTAACTGTCACCAGCCATCTTTCACCACTGTCATCACCTGTCGTCGTCCATCTATTTACCGACCATCATCTTTACCATCACCAAAACCCATAAATATCTAAATTCCTAATCCCTAACCGTACATTTAATTCAAAAGTTGAGAGATTTTCCTGTGATTGTTTAACGTGACGGGGGTGGGGAGGCAAGGTAGTTCTGTCGTATGACAACCTAACTTAAGGCTAAGCAACGTCAGAGAATAGGCGTAACTAAAAATGTTGTTAAAAGTATACCATTTTCGGTTAAGCACAACCTAAAATGCTATAAAGAATGTAACATTTTTAGTTGCCAACCGAAAATGTTATGAAGAATATGTGCAACCGAAAAGTATTAAGAAAAAGTAATATATTAGGTTGCCTCCAATTGAAAATATTATGCTTTTTATAATATTTTTTGTTACGTTTATTCTCTACCGTTTCTTAGATTTAAATTAGAATATCATTCTTACAAATTCCCAGAGAAGTATTAATAGGTGAGATTAAATTGTGGGAGAGTTAAGTGTGGCAAGGTGATTGAATTTGGGAGAAAGAGGATTTTTGAGGGGGTTTAATGTAAGAGATGTGGGTGAGGGGGAGGGGCACCACTAAGGGGGTGACAGTGAGCAAAATTAACGTTAATTAAGATTTTTTTAATTAAAATAAGTTCTTTAAAATAAAAATAAAAATTTCAAAAAAAATCATAAATGTCATATATTTTAGATAAATATTCTTTTTAATGATTTATGACTTAAACACGTAAAAATGTAATGCTAAAAAGAAAACATTTATTCTAAGGGACAAACGATCAAGCAAGGCCATCCAAGTGGTAATAGAGTGCTTGGGAACATGCAATGTAAACCAAATCAGACACTACCATGAAACCCTCACCTTCCTAGTCCGAAACTCTCCCCAAACCTTCCTCGTTCGGCATGCATCAGCCCCCCTCAAAACCCCAAGACAGCCACCATCTCCTTCCTAAAAAGAAAAGATCTTCCTTAGACTCCACCTCGTCGACCCACTTGGCTCTAAACCCCACACATCGGCCCCCTTAATCACATAAGCACGAACCCACGCATTTTGAGGAGACTCGATCCTATATTTTCTTTGGGTGCTCGGTCTCGACTGAGATTTGGAGGCTCATTTTGGGTGCTAGCGGTATTCATCGCTCGATGATGGATTAGGAGGGTGAGGTCGCCTCGGTGTATGCTCACGCTAGGGGTAAGTGCATTAGAGTCGTTGTTTTTAGATTGGCTTGAAATGCTTTTATATACTTTGTGGGAAGGGAAAGAAATAATAGATGCTTTAGGAATGTGTGTTTGACAGGAGATGTAATTGTGGGTTCCAACTTTGTATAGATTAGGGTAAAAGGGGTTGAGTATCTTGTTATTTTTTAAGTAGGACTATAATATATTAATTTGTTGGAAGCATCATCAACAAATCTTGTCAAATACATTTGACTATAATAAGTAAAATATAACAATAATCGATTATTGATAGTCTGATAAGCAAAAGCGTGAATAGTTAAAGCAACGACATACGAAAACAGATCATTCCAACATCTCCGAACACCAAACATGAAAGAGAAAACTTTAGGAATATCCAAAACGAACAAATGAAAAATTGATCTCCCCTTAACAACAATCCTATCAAGCAAAAATATTTGATAACCAACGAAAATGAAAGAAGGAACCAGACATCGGGAAATCAACTAAGCACGAAATCATGTAGAATCATAGACCTAGAATAAAACCAATAAAAAACCTTCACCGGAAGTCCAAAAACATCGATAGCCATTATATCATTTATTAAAAGAAGGGCCAAGAGAAAATATTATTATAAATATGTTCAAATATAATTGAATACTAATTATTATTATAAACATGTTAAAATTTAATTAAAAACTAGTAAAATTAGATAATAATTAACGGAGAAGAGAAAAATAATGACAGGGAGATGGCTGTGAAAAGCCACCATTACTGCCTGAAAGTTGAAAAACTATGATAATCGTCGGCTAATAGAAAATAACTGCTACAGAGAAAAATAACAGAGAGTTTGAATATATAATATATTAAAAAAATATAATATACAAAATTTTATTAAAAAAATAACAGGAAGTTTGAATACATAATATACTCTTGATTTGTATTTTATTTAGGTATAATATATACATTTTATCAAGAAAAAAAATATTTTAGAGATATAAAGTTAACTTAAACCTTATAATAATAAATTGAAAAGATAAGAAAGAGAGCGATCCTAACAAAAACGAAAGAAAAAGCCAACTAAAAGAGGCCGCCTCGATCGCTTATATATGTTGGTGGAGTGGATTTGGGTAAAAAAGTGGCGACCGAGACGGAAATTGGAGACCAGAGGAACATTGTAGAAGGAGATGGCGGTGAGAGTTAGAGCAGTGGAAACGCTACCAAAGCTGATGAGAAAGCTGAGGAAAGACTCGGCCTCTTCAACGGTGACCCAAAGTCCAGTCTTGCCATCCCTCAGGCGCGCTTTCTCTCTCTACGATCAGATCAATCTCATCGATAAGGTCCCTGATGACCAGCTTCGTTTCCAACGGTATTTGCTTTTGTGAAATTACTCACCTCCCTTTTTTCTTATTCCTTCTCCAACACCGCCCTTATTTTTTTCTTAAATCTTTTTGAATCGACAGATACACGGAAACTGGATTCACCGTCAACGGCGTCAACTATGAAGGCAGCTTGCTTTGTGTGGGAAATTTGGTCACTTCTTGGGGCCCTCGTAATTTTTCTGAAATTACTCCTCAAAGGTATTTGCTTCCTTCATTCTAACTTCGTTTCAATTGGGTTCAACGCTTTTCTTCTGCTATGCTTTTTTAGTGCCATAAATAACAATGAATTTTTTAAACTTTAGGGATTTCCCCCGTCTCACATTTCGTCTTTGTACTACTGTTTGCAGCTTATCCATCTTTCAAATCATACGTCCTATTCCAGGTGAGGCTTCAAACAATTTATACAGGAAGAGCAAACTTGATGCCTGATAAATGGTATCAATAATGCATCCCCTTTGGTCAATCATCTTGTGGACCTAATTAAGGTTTTATGGCATTCGGAGTTTAGGTCGTTCCCTTGGATGTTAAAACAGCACTTGTAATGCAAAGATTTATGCGGATCGTCTTTAGCCTCATTTTGGGCACAGACAATCACAGTTAAAATGGAAGATTTTTAACCCATGATATAGATATGTTGTGACTTTTGTGTGTGCGCGTGTGTTTGGTTCTGGGGATAATTATGGGTATTTCACTGCATCATCTGCTGCATTTTGCTTGTTTTTAGCATTTCAGTAGTATCACCTGTTGTTATACCTGGAGAACGAGAGAAAGCTGAGAATGATTTCCGTATGCAGTTAGAAATAGTGTTTTTTCTTTTCTTCTAGTTTTGTTCTCACTGAGCATTCTCTCTTGTTTTATTTTAGAAATCTTGATTCTTGGCTGTGGAAGGAACATTGAACCAGTAGATCCTGAACTCAGGCGCTTCATCCGTTCTACCGGCATGAAATTGGAAGCCTTAGACTCGGTATTGACATTTCCATTGTAGTACTAATAATTATAGTTGATACCTAAAGTCGACTACTTAGTTTTGGCATTTCATGGCTATAAATTGCTTGAATATCACTAGTTTCCCAAACGGCAGAGGCGGACCTTCTCTCCCCTCCCTGCCAATCTATTTCCTACTGCATGCTTGAGGTTGAAGGCTTATCATTTATTTATGTTTTTTTTTTTGAAGAACCTAAAGCTACCTTATCAAATGAGGTTAAAAGGTTGTTCTCTTCTCTTTTGTTCAAGACCTGGAGATTGAATTTGAGCACCAATTTTTCGGTCATTTATCTGCTTGCAACGTGCCTAATCAAAGAGTTATTTTGCTTTCATCTGTCAGAAATCTGCATACATATTCTTGTGTTTTGTGCTTGATTTCTCTTCTCAAAACAGCTAACTATATTTCCTATTGCTTTCATCTGTCAGAAATGCTGTTTATTATTGATGCAAGTGATTTTCCAATAGGAACTGACTTTGACTACGAACTTCTCTTGTTGCAGAGAAATGCTGCATCTACTTACAACATACTGAATGAGGAAGGTAGAATTGTGGCTGCTGCACTGCTCCCATATGGAGTTTATTCATAAACTTCGGTACTCACAAATTTAACGATTCGGGGTTTTGATTTTGTCAGATGATGAACTATTAGATGTGTGTGCTTATCTTGATACTGCTGTGAGATAAATAAGTGGTTGCCGCTCCATGATTAATTGACATCATTGTCTATTTTGTGCCTAGGATTTTCTCTGTTGTACCCTCAATTTTCGGGGAAGGTAGAGGATGTGAACCTCTTCATAATGAGGTTTGAATAAAATTCTAAAACCGTAGCCATCTCGAGTTGTGTAACTGTAGCTATGCTGAGCTGAAAGGAGTAGCAGCATTGTTGTGCATTGCTATACCATACTAGGTGAACTGTATTCGTATTACTTACTATACTAGAGGAACTGTGTCATTGCCAACATTCTTCTATCGTGGAAATGGAAGAATGATAACAAAATTTTGGGCTCCTGACCTGGTATTCTGATCAAAGAAAAATGAAATGAGGGAGGAATCCAAAGCGAATCAAGAACTTGGACCCGACATTTAACATTTACGACACTAAGCATAGTCTGATCATATAGAAACGTACCAATTCTTCTACTCGACGGCCATTTGCAACAGTTCATATAGTTAGATATACAAAATAATATTGCTGTATGAAAAACATATGCTAAATAATATTAATTATTAATGTTCTTTGCTTAGTACAAGATTTATGTTCTTTTAGGCTGTCAGTTAATGCGTATTTATCATTGATATTATGGGGTGTTCAGTGTTTTTCAATAGAATGTGATCGTTGAAATTTGGATTGATGGGGGAATTATTTTACAAAGTTTTAATTTTTTATGGAGTCTCAACTTTTCGATTTTCCCCTTTTCTTACATGAAATATTTAAGTATATATACCTATTGAGATATGGAACATATATAAAATATGTTAATGTTAAATAATAGTGAATATTTCAGCTAAATTATTCAAATATCACTGTTTTAAATTGATTTTGCATTTTGCTTTGAAAACAGACTTTTTACCTAAAAGTGATTTTAAAAAATCAGGTGAAACGGAGCAAGTAAGTTTTATTAGAAGTGCGTTTGTCCTATGTAACATTTTAATCAATAAATTTTAGGGTAAAGTATATACTTTTAGTGTTTTTGCATTTTGGTCACTCAATTTTTGAAACTTACAATACAGTCATTAAACTTTTAATTCGTTTTCATTTATGTCCTTAGTGTTACCTCCGTTAGTTTTTCGTTGAGTGGCAGGTAACCTCCCGTCAACTCTTTTCTTCTCCTACTAAGTTTTTCGCTGAGTGGCAGGTAACCTCCCGTCAACTCTTTTCTTCTTCTACTAAGGTTGAAAACCCTAACCTCCAAAAAAAAAAATCACCAACCCAAAAATCATAACTCCATTGAAAATCATAACCTCCGCAAAATTAAAAATCCAAAAAAAAAATTTAAACATATCCCGGAAGCATTGACAACGATTAGATGTTGTGAAATTTTTTCCATGGAAAGGTTGGAAATGCTTGGGGATTCGGGGGTTGGGCATGGTGGGTAGTTGTCAACTTTGGACCTTTTGCCTCATAGAAAGCTTTTTTGTAAATCCATGACCAACGGTTCTTGAGTTGACAAAGAAACTTCATAGGCTCAAATCGTGCAGGAGAAAACTCCACTAATTGGCCGTGGCTAGATTATCGGGGGTCATGTGTAAATTCTTATAAAAGAGTCCCTATTTCTTAGATATATTCGATTCCGGACCCTTATTTTTATGCTTCTTAATGAAAATAAATGATAGATATACTAGATTTCGGAGCTCCTATTTTTAAGCTTCTTAATGGCAACAATTAATAGATATACTTGATTTCGGGACCCTATTTTTATGCTTATTAATGGCAACAACTAATATATATATTTAATTTCGAAACTCCTATTTTTTGAGAAGGTTAATACTTTATAGATATACTCATTTCATAGGAGCATCCATTTATCATAGGACCTAGTACAGGCTGCCAACTTGTACAGGCATTATGGATGCTTGTATTTTAAAATAATGATGTTCTAAACCCTATTTTTTTAAAAAACTTAATACCAAGTACTATCAAGTATTTCCTTATATTAAAATAAATGGGTGCTTTTTAAAATAATGATAAATAGAGATATATTCGATTCGGGGTCTTTATTTTTATTCTTCTTAATGGCCACAACTGATAGATATACTCAATTTCGGAGTTCCTATTTTTATGCTTCTTAATGGAAACAATTGATAAATATACTCGATTTCGGAGTCCCTATTTTTATGCTTATTAATAGCAAAAACTGATAGATATATTCGATTTTAAACTCCTATTTTTTGGGCCCTGCGTGGTAGCGTACCTTGCGCCCATCTGCCTTATTTTCTTTCGGAACACAAGAACACGTAATCTCCGACTTCAGGCACTTCCCAAAATCATCCATAGCCTCAACTTCAGCAAGAAAGTTTTTAGCTTTATTCTGTCTAATCATCTGCTCAAAGTTCACAAGGAAAGGCTTCAACTGAGATGGTTAGCACCAAGCAAAATGGCTAATACCAAAGTACCCAACGAGCAAGCAGTTTTTCTCGTCACCAACCAAAGCATACTCCGGTGCCTCTGAAGGATCTAAGATCTTCCCCAGACACCAACTCAGACTTTCGTTCTAACCCAAACAATATCCCCTACATAAAACTTATGTTTCGGTCCAACAGTTACCAACACCAGTTTGATCCTCTTTCGTTTTATTCATGGTTTTCAGAACTGTACTGGTTAGTGAATCGGTCATATTATCGGTTCACTGATTCAACCAGTCGAATCGATCCGATCGGTCGGAAGAACCGAACGACGTCATAATTATTTAAAAAATTAAATAAAAATACCAAAAATATTTAATAAAAAATGATTTTTTATATCACAAGTCATATTCAAAGTAAGTTATAACTTATATAAGTTAAAAACCATAAAATCAAGTGAAACAAAATGATTTAAATTAATTACAACATAATATTTAAGGTAAAACATATTAAATAATAAATATAATTATATAACTATAATTAAAAAATAAATTTGGGCTAAAAAATCATAATAAAATGATATTGTTTGGTTTAATTTTTTTTTTAAAAACAATATCACATGGCTAAGAAACATAGAAGAGCATCCCAAAAGTCTAAAGAGTAAAAATATGATAACAAAACAATCTCACATGGCTAAAAAACATAGAAGAACATCCCAACTAACTTCTATAAATAATAGAAGTAATTTGACATTCAAAATTATGGAGCCTTTTGGTGAGCATTGAGTGAACTATTCTTTCACTTCAATTAAGCTCGAATTTTAGGCTTCAATCGATCTTCTAATTTTTTTTTGAGTTCAAACCTTTTCGAGTTTAAGTTTCAATATTATATTTCGAGTTCGAGTTGAACTTGATAATTTTTAGCTCGTGAGCTTGAGTCGAGTTGAGCTTACTTTTAAAGTTTTCAAGTTCGAGTCGAGCTCAGCAATACTCGAGTTTGACTTTGATCGTTTAACAAACGACGTCGTTTGGTTTAATTAAAAAAAAAAAAAATTGGTGATTTTTTCCAGTTTTCAGCCGGTCTGGTTCGAACGGTTCAGAGGTTTTGGCCGATTCACTAGTAGCGGTTCAACCGGTGTAGATTGAACCGAACTAGACAACGGTTCCCAATTGAACTGGTTGAACCGGCAGGTCCGATCCGGTTTTCAAAACACTGGTTTTATTAACTCCATTGTTCAGTATATAACCTTCTGCTGTCTCAATAACACTGAAACCATTTTCTTTTACATCCATGGCTAAGCTATCTCCTCTAACATAATGTCATTTTCTTGAAGTTGGACGTTAAAAATGGAGCCTAACCCATTACTACTTTCGATCAAAGTAAGCAAATCACGAGCTCCATAACCTTCCTCTAAGAGTTTCAAATTTGGATTTTTTCGATTCTAAGCTTTCTGGGGTTTTAGGGTTCTCCATTATCAATATTCTCTAAGCATCTGATAAAGAAAATAATTCAAACGTCATTCATTCAAAAAAAATCTAAAACATACTAAACGGGAAAAGAGACCCAGAATCAAAACGGTCAGGAAGAAGAGCAGGACTTAACGGAACGTTATTTGTCCTATCAGCGAAAAACTAATGGATGTAACGACAGGAACGGAAATAAAAACGAATTAAAAATTCGATGACTGTATTGCAAGTTTTAAAAGTTGAGTGATCAAAATGTAAATGTCCTAAAAGTTCAGAAACTATTTTTTTTAAAATATACTTAGGATTATTAGGAGTATTGATTTTCATAAAGATCTTAGGTTTAGATAATTATATTTTTAAAGTGTATATATTATCAATAATTATTTTTAAATATATACTATTTTATAATTACTTAAAATATTTTTAAAAAAATAGTTTTGAAAGTCGCAAGTATCAAACATATTTTTTTGTTTAATATTCTCGTTCGTTCGGATCCCCTATATAATCTCCATCCCGAAGCTATGAAAGGAATAAAAAAAAGTTTACAGTAATTCGATCAAAATTTGCTAAATTTTATTATAGGAGTTCAGTACACGAATAATTTTTTAATAGTTTTGTATTTTTTTATAATTTTCTTTACTATTGTTTAGTTATTTAATTTTATTTAGGATTTATGGTTTAATTTTATAGTTGATAAATTTGTATATACCATTTTAGTTTTTTTAATGAAAGAAAAAGGTTTAAATTGTACGAATCAAACGATTTCAGTGATAAAAGAATTATTGTTATTTTTTAATATTTCATGTTCGAGTACCTTGAATGTTAAGGGTGTGAACGTTTAACATCAAATGACCAAGAATTATCTTCAAACAGATTTTGCCTTGTATCTATCCCAAATTAATAATAAAAAAAATACCTATCCTGAATTAATAAAAAAAACACCTAAACTATAACATTAAGGGGACCATCAATGTCTCTATCTAAGACACTAAGCAACTGCGGTAAGATCTATAAAAAAAAAACAGTAATCGATGTGATTATTGAAACCTTGGTAAATCCCACATATTTCATCTTTTAACAGTTATATGTGATTATCGAAACAAATTACCAATTGAGCCGTAGCCAGTCATAAGCGAAACAGCTTCATCAGCATTCATACACAGCCAACCAGGATCAGGTGGAAGCCATTTTACTTGCGTTTCTGATACTTACGCGACAAGCTTATCGGGACGACTAACAACAGATGAAGTGTTTATTCCAGTTAAAGTTGATCTGCAGCACAACGTTTGAGTCAATAGGCTGTCC